AAAGGGGGTGTGCAAGAGGCAGGTGATTGATAATTCTCTCATTGATGTTTCTAACTCTCTATCACTCTTCCTCTCTGTAAAAAATCAATAAAATATATATATATTTTTAAATAGAGTGTATACACGGTCAAAAAAAATAAAATCATGCCGGGCTGGAGTGGTAGAGCCTCATTTTAAAGCTATTTCTTTTCCATCTTGATTTTTTTTTTTTTAAACTTCAAAAATTTTTCAGGAAAAGTTAAGTTTTGCTTTGCTGGACAAAACAACTTGGTGATGTTTCAGGTAAGTGAAAATCCACAGCCTTCTTCAAATATGCTCCACCTCCTGTTTTTAACCAAAGTTTTACAAGGAGAGAAGAAGAAAAAGAAAAGACTTTCTATTGTATTTTTTTTCCTTTAAAAACCTGCTCCTCCTTGCAAAATACAATAAAATAGCGCAAACACAACAAGAGCAGCAAGGAAGGAAATCCATGCGCTAGCCCTGCTGTCGGGGTCTGCTGGCTCTGAGTGGACGCCCATCAATATTCATACTTGGGGAGCAGAGATGCAAAACAAACATCCCCCAAGTGCATCTGTGGCCTGGGCAAAAGGCTGGGGGGGCAGGAATGAGGGGCAACTGAAAGCTGGGATCCGCTGCTTTTCTGAGAAAGATTCTCCTCCTGTGCCCTAGTTTTGTGAGCAGCCATTTGCCTGAGGCCTGTTTCATTGTTTGTCCCTGTGATTTGGAAACATGATTGGAGCCTTCCAGGGAGAGATGAATTGTCTGGGGAATGCATGCTATGGTTTCAGGGAAGAAAATGTAATTTTCCAGCCAGATCAGCTATATATTTTATATTCTTTATAGTAGGCGGCCTATATAGAAACGGAACTACGGAAAGTGTGAAAAGGGGGTGGAAGGAAGAGGCAAATGAATGAACTAGACTTAGGTCTTCACAACTAGATTAAATGTCTATGTTAACCTGTTTAGCCTGGCTCAGTGGTCGAGCATCGACCACCTATGAACCAGGAATCTACCACGGTTCCATTCCCCACTAGGGCACATACCTGGGTTGCAGGCTCTGTCCACGGTAGGGGGTGTGCCGGAAGCAGCCAATCGGTGGTTCTCTCTCATCATCAATGTTTCTTTCTTTCTCTATGAAATTCATAAAATATGTATATTATATAATGAGCACTGAACGGTGTAAAGATATCAAAAGTAGGTAGTTTTTGTTTCTGCTCTGAGACACACACAAGGCAGTGTTCTAAGCGCAAGCATACAGTCTGAGCCGAACTATCGCTCACAAGAACTCAATATATTGCCGAAGCCGGTTTGGCTCAGTGGTAGAGCATCGGTCTGCGGACTGAGGGGTCCCAGGTTTGATTCCGGTCAAGGGCATGTACCTTGGTTCGGGCATATCCCTGGTAGGGGGTGTGCAAGAGGCAGCTGGTCAATGTTTCTCTCTCATCGACATTTCTATAATAGCTCATCAACGTTTCTAGCTCTCTATCTTTCTCCCTTCCTCTCTGTAAAAAATCAATCAATATATATATAACAAGAACACAATATAGGAGATATTGCTATTCCCATTTTTCACAGGAGAGAAGAGAAAGTGGGTTACACAACCTGCCCTAATATTCTATGATCATACAGCTAGGATGAGAAAAAAATTTCTGAATCCACAGCCATACTTTTTCTTCCTTATTTAACAGATTGTTATCTTAATTTTTTGTTGACTTTTAGGGAGGAAGAGAGATGGATAGAAAGAAAAATACCATCAGCTGCCTCCTGCATGCCCTCCACTGGGGATGGAGCCCACAACCCAGGTCATGTGTCCTGATAAGGAATCCAACCAGGACCTCCTGGTTCATAGGTTGATGCTCAACCACTGAGCCATGCAGGCCAGCTATTGTACAGAGATTGTAAACACACCAAGATTGTCTGAGCCCTACTGGGTTTGGCTCAGTGGCTAGAGCATCAGCCTGTGGACTGAAGGGTCCTGGGTTCAATTCCAGTGAAGGCACATATCTAAGTTGCAGGGTCCATTCTGGTCTTGGTCAGGGTGCAAGTGGGAGATAACCTATCGATGTCTCTCTCTCACATTGATGTTTCACTTTCTGTCTCCCCCCTCCCATTCTCTCTAAAAATCAGTGGAAAATCCTTGGGTGAGGATTAACAAAAAGTCCCAATAAAGTGAAGAAACAGGAAAATAACTGCTTACATTGGCTTCATGATTTGCCTGATTTGGGGGGAAAGAAATGAGAAAAAATTGTTAATGATTCAAATCTCATTAAATTGACACACTTAACCCTTGTTAAAAGAACTCATAGTTGGTATTAATGAGATATTTTCGACAATTTCTTTGAGCAGCCTGTAAGTAAAAAAATCAAACATGTTTCAATAATATTTTCCCTCTCAGTAGGTACTTGTTCTTTCAATGTTGATAAAACCCTGGGATTTAAATCCATTGATTGACAATTTGGAGCTGTTTATTTTTCTCCTATTTTCTATTTAGGGCTTCCAGGGACAGGAGGGCTTAAAGAAGCGAAGCTAAGGGTGAATGAAGAAACAGTCCTCATTTATACACGCTGATTCTCCTCTAGATATTTTATGATAAAGCCATTTATTTCCTACTGTTAGATATCTTTTCAGAACAATAACAATTCCAACTCTTTTCAGAACAATAACCATTCCAACTCTATACACAATCAGCTTTTAAGTATACTCCTGCCGTGTTCAACAAACCAAGGCTCAAGAACCACGGATTGCCTCTCTGTTGACTAATGAGTTTGCCGACCACTGTCCTAGTTCATAGGTGGAAGTTCAACTCCTGAGCCACAGTGTTCCTCTTTTAAACTTTTACGTCAGCAGTCGGCAAACTCATTAGTCAACAGAGTGGCAAATGGAAGCTCACAGGCCTCATGTGGCTCACAAGCTGCAGTTTGCTGACCACTGTACTAGTGAAACCACATGCAATGTTTTCAGAAGGAATTATCTATAGCCAATCTTGTGCAGAAATAATATATATATGTAACTTACAAATATAGTATGCATCTATTATATATTATATTATGCATCTATTATATATTATATAACATGATTATATAATATATATGTGTATATACTATATAAACATATTGAAATATATATAATTTATAGTATACAAAGATACAGGTATATTTCTTCAATGATTATATGGATCTTTTCTTTAAATATGTTTTTATTTCAGAGAGGGAGAGAGAGAGAAACATCAATGATGAGAATCATGGATCAACTGCCTCCTGTACACCCCCCACTGGGGCTGGTGCCCACATCCTGGGCACAAGCGCTGACTGACCAGGAATCTAACCAGGACCTCCTCGTTCTTAAGTCGATGCTCAGCCACTGAGCCATGCAGCCCAGCTATTGTACAGAGATTGTAAACACACCAAGAGTGTCTGAGTCCTAGCTGGTGTTGCTCAGTGGACAGAGCATCAGCCTGTGGACTGAAGCGTCCTGGGTTCAATAAAAACTCATACCTGAGTTGCAAGGTCCATGTTGGCCCTGGTCAGAGTGCAAGTGGGAGGCAACCTATCGATGTCTCTCTCTCTCCCCTCCTAACTCTCTCTAAAAATCAGTGGAAAATCCTTGGGTGAGGATTAACAAAAAGTCTCAATAAGGTGAAGAAATAGAAAAGAAATAGAAAAATAACTTTTTCTTTAGGAAAATAACATCTTAAATTGGCTTCATGATTTGCCTGATTTGGGGGGAAAGAAATGAGAAAAAATTGTTAATGATTCAAATCAAACACATTAAATTGACACACTTAACCCTTGTTAAAAGAACTTGTAGTTGGTCTTAATGAGATAGTTTTGATTTTTTACTTACAGGCTGCTCAAAGAAATTGTCAAACATGCTTCACTAGTATTTTCCCTCTCAGTAGGTACTTGTTCTTTCAATGTTGATAAAACCCTGGGATTTAAATCCATTGATTGACAATTTGGAGCTGTTTATTTTTCTCCTATTTTCTATTTAGGGCTTCCAGGGACAGGAGGGCTTAAAGAAGCGAAGCTAAGGGTGAATGAAGAAACAGTCCTCATTTATACATGCTGATTCTCCTCTAGATATTTTATGATAAAGCCACTTATGTTTCCTATTGTTAGATATCTTTTCAGAACAATAACCGGTCCAACTCTATACAGAAACAGCTTCCAAATATACTAGTGCAGTGGTCAGCAAACATGTGGCTCTAGAGCCTCGATTTGGCTCTGTTGACTAATGAGTTTGCCGACCACTGTCCTAGTTCATAAGTAGAAGTTCAACTCCTGAGCCACAGTGTTCCTCTTTTAGATGCTTAGGTCAGTGGTCAGCAAACTCAGTCATCAGAGTGGCAAATCGAGGCTCATTTACACCCTGATTCTCCTCTAGATATTTTATGATATCTAGAGCCGCAGTTTGCCGACCACTGTACTACTGAGACCACATGCAATCTCTTCAGAAAGAATTATCTATAGCCAACCTTGTGCAGGAATAATATATATATACTATACAAATATGCAAACATTATATAACAATATATAACATGAGTATATAGTATATAGATGTATATACTACTTAGTTATATAGTATATATATGTATATACTATATAAACATTTAAATACACATAATTTATAGTATGCAAATATACAGATTTATTTCTTCAATGATTAACTATGTGGATCTTTCTTAAAAATAGATTTTTATTTCGGAGAAGGAAGAGGGAGAGAGAGAGAGAGAGAGAGAGAGACATCCATGATGAGAGAGAACCATGGATCAATTGCCTCCTGCAAGTCCCCTACTGGGGATGGAGCCCACATCCTGGGACTAGGAATCCAACCAGGACCTCCTGGTTCATAGGTGGATGCTCAACCACTGAGCCCCGCCCAGGGTTCCCTGGACCTCTTACCTCTGTTAAGGACTGGCTGGAGCCGGCCAGAAGGAACCTAGTGCAGCTTGAGGCTCAGGCTGCCTGTACTGACCCAGACTCTCCCTGCTCCCTTTCCAGATCCTCCACCTACTGGCTCTCGCGCGTCCAGTCCTTCCTCTACTGCAACGAGAACGGGCTGCTGGGCAGCTTCTCGGAGGAGACGCACTCGTGCACCTGCCCCAGCGACCAGCTGGCCTGCACGGCCGCCCTGCCCTGCGCCGTGGGCGACGCGGCCGCCTGCCTGGCCTGCGCCCCGGACAACCGCACGCGCTGCGGCGCCTGCAACGCGGGCTACATGCTGAGCCAGGGCGCCTGCAGGCCCGAGGTGGCCGACTCCACCGACCACTACCTGGGCTTCGAGACCGACCTGCAGGACCTGGAGCTCCGCTACCTGCTGCAGCGGGCCGACCGGCGCCTCGAGGTGCATGCCATCTTCATCAGCAACGACATGCGCCTCAACAGCTGGTTCGACCCGTCGTGGCGCAAGCGCATGCTGCTCACGCTCAAGAGCAACAAGTACAAGGCCAGCCTGGTGCACATGGTGCTGGGCCTGTCGCTGCAGATCTGCCTGACCAAGAACAGCACGCTGGAGCCCGTGCTGGCCGTGTACATCAACCCGTTCGGGGGCAGCCACTCGGAGAGCTGGTACATGGCCGTGGGCGAGGACGGCTTCCCGGACTGGGAGCGGACTAGGCTGGACCTGCCCCTGCAGTGCTACAACTGGTCCCTGACGCTGGGCAACAAGTGGAAGACCTTCTTTGAGACGGTGCACATCTACCTGCGCAGCCGCGTCCGGGCCAGCAGCGGCGCTGGTGGCCCCGGAGGCAACACCACCGACGGCAGCAGCAGCAGCGTCGTGTACTACGAGCCGCTGGAGTTTGTGGACCCGGCGCGCAACCTGGGCTACATGAAGATCAACCACATCCAGGTGTTTGGCTACAGCATGCACTTCGACCCCGAGGCCATCCGGGACCTCATCCTGCAGCTGGATTACCCCTACACTCAGGGATCGCAGGACTCGGCGCTGCTGCAGCTGGTGGAACTCCGGGATCGAGTCAACAAGCTGTCCCCTCCGGGCCCCCGCAGACTCGACCTGTTCGCCTGCCTGCTCCGCCACAGGCTCAAGCTGGCCACCAGCGAGGTGGTCCGCATCCAGGCGGCCCTGCAGGCCTTCAACGCCAAGCTGCCCAACGCCGTGGACTACGACACCACCAAACTGTGTAGCTAAACCAGGCATAAGCCAAGCACAAGAAGCCCACGTGCCCCCCCCCCCCCCAGGGGGAATTTTTCCCTAGTGCTTTTTTTTTTGGGGGGGGGCCGTGTCTGTTGGGAAGAGTTCACTTACTTAAAACACAGTCGTCTTTTCACTATCTCGTCTTCTATCCGTGGATAAAACCGTTTGGAGGGCAACCGTTGCTGCCCATGAATATACCCCACTTGCAGTCTTGGTTGGTTGATGAATGAAAATATATAACGGACGCCCGTCTAAGGAGACAGCCTACTTTTTACAAAGAAAATTTCATTTGTAATTTTCTATGTTCCGTGGCCAATGCTTTTGTGCATTACATCCTCTGGAGGGAACATAAAAACAGAAAAGATACCAATAAAATTTTGTAGCTGAACAGTTATTAAAAAGAAGTGCCGTGGGTTTCTTCTTTCTTTTTCTTTTTTTCCCCCCGTGAAATGAGTTCTGTTTGGATACATGGCTTGTTAGGAAATGGGGGGACATTTGAAAGTCCCTCTCAACTGCCTTCAGGGAAAATCCAACTAGATGGAATGCTTAGAAACTGTTGACACATTATTACTTGTGTTACCCGTGCTTCCAAACCATTCCAAGAGACATGATCCTTATAACAAATAGGTAAAATGTTTCCCAAATAAATGTACCAAAGAAGGTGACCAAAAGCTTATCATAGACAAAGGAAACTCAAATTTTTTTAGCAACTTGTTCAGCCATTGTTTTGCTAAAGTCTAATAGCCTATAGTTATATATGCCACAATCATTTTCATGTATGAAAACCTAGTTATTCCAACATTTTACCAAAGTCAATTGTATAACTTCCAGAACTTATAGTAAATAATGATGTGTTGGTATAAAATAAATCAATAACTGATGTAAAGAAATTTTTTTCAGATAAACTATTACTAAAATACATTAAAAAACACACCCTTTTAATATAAAACTAATTTTAGTTTAAGGTTTTGTTTTAAAATGAGTTCGCATATTGCCCATGGTGTAATATTAGATATATAATTAACTTTTCCCCTGCAGATGTAAAATGCATTTTTAATTTAAATTCCTATAGTTTAAAATATTTACATGTCTCCTTCCCCCTCCCCCCCCCCCCACATCCCCCATTAACTTCTCCCAGGCTGCTTTTTGCTTAGATATGCCTGAATGTACCATCAAGTGTGGTTATGGTGCTTAGCACTGGGCTCTTATCTAGATGTGCCATAAGCATTTCTTAGCATTTAAACAAAATCCCTGCTTACCTGCTGAGGCCGTCTCGTCATTTTCCAGGGCTCGGAGACAGGAACCCTTGACAGGAATGAACAGGGTAAGACTGGCCACAAAAACATCACCCAGACATCTGGGTTCTTGAGATGTTTGTTTTTCTTTCCCAGACATTTTAACCACGAGTAGTTCTGACGATAAATATATAGTCCATCTACCATAAGCAAACCACTGATCTCGCATTGCTTGGGGTAGCTTCTAAGCAGTTCAACAGAAAATATATACAAATATACAATTATTAAACATCATCATTTTGGTGTTATATCAAATAGTCTCTTCCTTTGATTCTAACAACACTAGATTATAGATTATTATTCCCCTCCCCCCCTTTTTTTGTGAAAGGCTCAAAATGGTGGGTCAAACCAAGATGTTGAGAGCCCAAGATTCTAACACAGGTTTGTCTGAAAAAGAATTACCACAAGGACCTTTATCAGAAAGAAAGTCTTGGGAGCCTAGGCCAGACACCAACCAAGCAACCCACATTGTCACCAATGGACACGGGAGGCAGAACCCTCTGGAACAGAGGACACTGCCAGCCATGCCAGTTCACCCTGCTCTGACTGGCTTATGGGGAAGACCCTGCAGCCACAGGTAAGAACTTAACGGGGCTTTCCTCCTGGGATGGTCCGTGTTGGCACAGAAGTCCCACTGGTCAGGATCTAATTATCCGAGTGCCAGCTGCCTGAGTAACACTGGTAGCGTGACCTTTATATCTGAGTCTGGTTCCCCCCGAAATACATAGGTCATACGAATGCTTCTCTCTAAACACTGTGTCTAAGGAACCATGATTACAGTGTAAGTGAACAGATCAAGCAAATTCTCAAGTGTTATGCAGATGTAGAGGATAAATGATCAACACTTTTTTTTGGTTACCATTTCTCATATATTACTGGAATTTTGAAAACCCCATAGGAAAAACAATTTTAAATAATAAGTGTTGCTTGGGGTTTCTAAGAAGCTACGGATAGGTGTCCCAGATCAGTGTGACCACTGAAAAGAATATATAAAGTGAATCAAGCTCAGAGCGCCTGTGATAAGAATCTCTTTCTGAGTTGGTGCCTGGACCATTTAATTAGAATAATAATATCCTCTTGCAAAATTGTATTTCCCTCTGGTCATAGATACGGTCTTTATAATTTGAAGCCACAGAGTCACAGATGTTAAGCTTGTGGTATTCTTAGGCAATTATCGCATAATTGACTGAATTTTTAAAATCTGAGAGTTGACATTTTGCTATGCCCATTTACTGTCTTCCCTTCTACTGCCATCGATATTCTACTTTCCCCATCTGTGTGATCAGATTTATGTTTCTACTTCCCAATTTTCCTGGAGATAGAAATATAAATTATAATTCAATCACCCTATAATAGTTCAATATTTGATAAATATATGTCAGCTGGAAATGTTCACATCTCCATTTCTTTTACGTGAACGCAGCATCAGCTCTTTTAATGAACTACGGACGGCTTGTGAATTAGAATATCCATGTCAAATTATCTGATATGGAGGACATGTGGTAAATTAGTGCATCCAAATGAAATTCAATCTGAAGCAAAAGTTCCACTCTTGAAATTATCTGATGTTTCTGACAATCAGGCTAACCATTTAATCACCAAAGTGCTATTTCGTTCTATGGTTGTACAATGCAACTATCACATAGTAACTATACTATGTAATACTTGATTAAATATATATGCAGTACTTACCTTGAGAAAAGCACTGTCCCTAGGGAATAGGATTTCAATACAAGATATAACCTCACCACGGATTTCTAACTTGACTCTTCCTCCAACAAGCATTGTTATGGGCGTAAAACAGTCCTGAAGGGTTCAGAAGCTGGCTAATACAGGAGCCTTAAAAAAAAATGGTGTGTCTACCATATTGCTAGAAATCCATAATTCATCTTTTCTCTCTAATTTCCCTGGTAATTTTTCCAGTTCCATTCCCCTCCAGTCACCAGTGTGAACTTTTAAATTATAAACCTATTAAAATGGAAATGGTACACGTATCTTGACTGAATAGGGAACTAACTCTTTAATTGGCATGTAATTCCTTTCTTAATCCAGCCCTTAGCTATTTCCCTATCTTCTTTTTCCAAAGTATTTATGTCATACCAAACTATTATTTAATATTAGACTGTATTTAAAAAAAGAAAAATGGTGAAGAAAACATAGAACAGGTTTCTACTATTCAATCTACCTTGGTACCATCAGCAATAAAGCAAAGTTATTAGGTCAAAAATAAGGAATCTGAATAAAGTAGAGACTTAATTTAATAATGTTACAATATTTATTAATTGTAACAAAGGTACCACAATGATATAATATTTTAATAGGGAAAAGTGGCAGTGGAGTATAGAAACACATTTTTTTTTTTTTAATTTCCTGTAACTCTAAATCTGTTCTAAATAAAAGCTATGCCCGGCCAGTGTGGCTCAATGGTTGACCTATGAACCAGGAGGTCATTGTTGGATTCCCAGTCAGGGCACATCCTGGGGTTGTGGGCTCAATCCCTAGTGGGGGGGCGGGTAAGAGACGCTGATCAATGATTCTCTTTCATCATTGAAGTTTCTTTCTCTCCCTAGCCCTTCCTTTCTGAAATCAATAAACAAGTATATTTCAAAAAAAAAAATAAAAGTTGTTTTAGAATTCATAATCCCTGGGATATTCAGTGTATTATTAAAAATTTCATGGGTACAAATCATTTTCAAGCAAACATCTCAACTTTTGAATAATGTTTCCCAGAAGTATTATTACTGTTTACTGTTTGCTCCCTAAAATTCATCATCTCCTATTCCTTAACTACAAAGCTTCCCAGCTCAATTACTTTTCCTTCCCTCACTGACTCCCACTCTATAAATTCTCACCAATGAAACAGGAGTGCAAATCCTCTCCGGACAACACGCAAACATATGTGCTTGCAACAAGCTTGGCCAAGGCTCCCCGTGACTTAGCCACTGCCCTGGCTGGGAATGGCCCTGAGAGAAGCTTCCTAGAACACCATGTTTCAAGCATGCAAGAACCCCAAATATTGCTGAAATGAATACTCCAAGCAGATCCTACATACCCACCCTACACATAAACCAAGAGAGAAATACATGTATCGCTCTTTAAAAACCATTCCATTTGAAGTCATTCTAAAATCTTGGTTCACCTTGCATCTCTTAGAGTAATACTTCCCACGCATTGCATTTCTCCAGTGCCTCCTCCAATTGAATATGTGATTACGCTAGTGCACTTTTTGTAATAATGGGCACGACACTTACAATTTACAAACTATAGACATGCTTCATATTTTCGGTAACTTTAGCAGGAACTAAGTAGTTGTTTGTAAAAGAATATTAACTAGAAATGAAAATCTTATACTCCTTTAATGGCCTAAAACTGTTGTTGCTGTAATGCCTTTGATGGAACTTTCTATAAATTTCATAGAAAACAAGTCTACTAAGTCATCAAAATGACCACCAGTTACCTTAGGTCAGTGGTCGGAAAACTCATTTGTCAACAGAGCCAAATATCAACAGAACAACGATTGACATTGCTTTTGAGAGACCAATTTTTTAAACGTAAACTTCTTCTAACGCCACTTCTTCAAAATAGACTCGCCCAGGCCGTGGTATTTTGTGGAAGAGGCACACTCAAGGGGCCAAAGAGCTGCATGTGGCTCTAGAGCAGCAGTTTGCTGACCATGGCTTTAGGCTGTTGTTATAACAT